TAAATGGGTGACGGCAGAGTGGGTGTGGGTGTGGGTGCGGGTGTGGATGGATGTGTAAGTAGTGCTGAACGGCCGTATGCAACACCCAGCCGCACCCACACCCACACCCACACCCCACACCCACACCCTTCTCAATAGTTTTGAGTTTGAAATAACATTTATCAGAATTGATTAATGTAAATTGTTTGTTTTTAGCAAATTTTTTTTTTAAAGGAATCGCAACTACATCAGAGTGTGAGTATAGATCTGGACGCTGGTGTGCATGTGCGGTGTAGCTTTATCCATTCTAGAAACCAAACCATACCTCACCGTCGTACCCGTAAGAATAGAATGCTCACATCCACACGCCATCATCCTCAACTTTCTCTGAAAATATTGATGCTTTCTAATCATATGCATGGTTTTTCTTTCAACGAAATTCTTTATTGTTCATGTTTAAAATGTTGAATAGGAAAAAAAATGAACGAAATTATAGTATTTTAGTTACAGATAATGTTCAACGATTAAAACATTTTATTCACATCAATTAAATAATCTGCTCGATAGACGGCATTGAATTTTCATCGATCAAAATTTTAAATCTTAAAGGATCATTTAATGCTTGTGAATGAGAAGAAGGTAATGATGCTCCATTAGCAAAGAAAAGTTCATTTGATTGTTTCCAAACTCCATAATCTTCATGAATATGACCAAAAATGGAAAGCAATGGTCTTACTTGATGTAATCTAGTTTGTAAATTAAGTTCTAAATCAACATGTGATCCATATTTAGAACAAGGTGGATTATGTGTAATTACGATATGTGAATTTGAAGGAATATCAGACCATTTTGATGTACCTGTAGGACGCCATGGTGCACCATATACGCGAAGATGATCATCAATAAGAAATTGTTCGTCTTGCAAAAGTTGTCCATGTTTTAAACATGGACTTAACATTGAATCATGATTTCCAGTAATAATTAATTTATGTCTAAATGGAAGTTCACTTAACCATTGATCAAAATCATCGAATGGCTTTGAGCCTCGACCGAAATTCGTTATATCTCCAGCATGTATAAGAATATCACCACTATGAGTTGACTTTAATCTATCTGTTAGCTGACGATGTCGTTGATGCGTATCACTTATACAAACAACTATCCAACATTTATTATGTAATAACGACATTTAAAAAAATTTCTTCATAACAATAGTATTTCACACACAAGCAATGTTTTATTTTGTGATTAATCATTATTTATGAGTCAACATGATTCATGAATTTAGTTAGTTCATTTATTGTATTTTTTTTTGTTCTTTAAATCAAACATTACCATAACAAGAGTATTTTGTGTGAGAAAAGAAAAAAAAATAAGCTCTACTGTATACTGAACTAAAAGTTGTTTCATTTGGTCTCTTAGTAGCAGATGCACTTTTCACCATCGACATCTATAGATAAAATTGAAATAATGGAAAAATTAAAAGAATTCTAATTGATTCCACATTAGTTTAAGATAAGAAACAACTTGACACTAATTTTTTCTGGGAAGAAATACTTTTCTCTTTTTTCAGATACTCATCACTGAGAAGGTTGTTCTCTTAGTAACCAAGAAAACTAGAATGAAATAATGGATAATGATCGAAGATTTTACAATAGACAGCAGATGATTCCGATAGAATAAAAAAATAACAAAAAATGGTGACTTAGATGTAAAAAATATGGATAAAATGGCATTTTTTCATGATGAAACTGCCATAATAATGCATAAATTTCATTTACATAGATTAAAATGAAAGTTTTCTCTAATGTCATTCCATGATTTTGGTTTCTCACGAAAGTCATCATAATGAAAATGATTAAAAGGTAAAGCTATATATGAAATTGGTGAAAATTTTCATTTTTATCGATGAAAATGGAGTACATGCATTACTATGTCCGTTTCATCAGGAAAAATGCCACCTTTCTATGTTCCTGGATTTTAAAATTCTCTACTGAAAAGGCAGGAATATATATCATATTCGAACTTTACGCATATCATCCCAAATGCAACTGTTATTTCCAGTGTTTTATTTGATGCGAAACCATACGTTTTTTTTAAATTTTACATATTTTGCGAACACATTATTCACGTTCGTCATGTGAATTCATGAGTTTTACTTCAAATGAGACTAAAAAGCTTGTTAGCGTAGCCATTTGGGGCTGAAATGTGGAACTCACATATCTCCTTTGGTTTCAGTATACTAATGACAAAATGCCCAATATTTAAAATCTGTAAAAGATACAGGTTCTTTTCTAAAGATAATCGATTATTAGAAAATGATATATTTTTATCTCTAAATTTCGAACAGAAAATTTTTTTTTCACGAAGTTGTTACGGTCTGTAATGGAGGAGCGGGACGTCTGTAATGGGGGCCTGCCTGTAAAAGGTGTGGGGGAGGGAAGGGGAGGGACCATGAAACCTCGAACTTAAAACTCACACTCAATATTTTCTTCGAGAATATGTGAGTTCCACAAAATATTAAAATCAGTTTCATAGCTGTTATGTAAGCGAACTTTTTCCTTTAGCATCAGAATTTCATGAAAGTTTTGTTTCATATTACTTTGATTTCGGTGGAACAAAGATTTAGGTTACTTTTCTTGTTTCTCCATCCAAAGTCAATTTGTTTTTCAAGAAATTTCTTGCAAGTTAAATTCCAATCATTTATGTTCAAAACATTTATCAATATGATTACACCACATATTATAGATGAATTCAAACAAATGTCCAAAAAAGCATCTTAAAAAAATTTGATCCTATATTAGTATTTGTAGCTATAATAACAAGTTACTGTCGACGTGAAGACTGAGATAATTTATCGGGCGAATTTTTTTCTCTTGTCTAATGATATCTACAGAAAACAAAACATAACTGATTCAGCTGAATTTTTCCACTATAAGTATTTGTACAAAGTTTCAGCTCAGAAGGTTGAGCCATTCTCGAGTTATATTTGTGATACTGCACCAATCTTTTATGGTTTTGAAGGTTAGCACTTTTCGAAAGCATTCAAGCAAGAAATAACAGTTCAATACCTTTTGATGCGATTTATGTCAAACATCATCAAATAGCGTTCTCTTTCATAGATATGAAAATGAATCAAATCGATGAAACTTATTTGAGCAGTGTTCAGTGCTTTTGGTCGTACCTTACGTGCAATAGCTCTTATACTACAAAATCAAACAATCGATCTAGTAACAAACCGAGTCACAGATTGTCACTTATCATATACCAATAGACGTTAAACAGACCTGTTTCGCAATTCCAATAATCATCTTCACTTTTCACCGTAGACACTGAGAATGCTCAACATGAATAGAAATGAGATTGGTGATCAAGATGCGCAATATTTGGGTGCTGTACTAAAATCCAACCAAATAAGATGTTTTTTGAACTGATTTCTCTAATAAAAGGTTTATTAAGTCATAAAAGTCTCTCTAAAATTGTTAATACTCAACAATTGAATCTGTATCTAACTTTGTTAAATTCTTGAGAATATGTTGTCAGAGTGTGATTCATTCACAACTAAAATATTGAAAAGATTATAATAATTGTTTCAATAGAATCATAAAAAAGTGTCGTCAAACTGCCTAAACAACTACTTTCTTTATCATTTAACAGTATTTTGTGATTATATTTCAAAATATGAATGAAATCATCAGATATTTTTCGACAAATTTAACCAAATGTTGACCATAAGGGTGCGCGTGTGTGGGAAGGGGTCTCAAAAATGTGGCAAAGGACTCAACTAGAGGTTGCTCAATCTCTATCACACTAAAAAAAAAACATTAAAAAAGGGCATGTAGGTTTGGGTGTGTGAGTGAGGAGTGTCGTCGTAGGTTTCATGAGTGTCGATGAAGTTAAGATAAAGGGACACTCCATACCCACACCCCACCCTGAAAGTGCAACTATGCAATGTGTTTGATCCTTCGTCGGCTAGTCAACTCGTAGCATTTGGTGCCAATACGTACCTGTCGATTGGCGAAGAGATCGCGCATTGCGTTCACAAAGCTCGATCAGTAACTGAGATCGAATTCAAAAGGGTCTGGAAAATGCAGAGAAGTTCGGCATTCATCTGCACATGATCTTTACCATGTCTTGGATGTGAAAAGCTGCATTTCTTTATCCATTCGCTTGCTTCTGCGATGCAAAAAACCCAAGCTGTTGAACTGACAGGTGATCATGTGGTGCTAGATCCAAAGCGTTCTCATTCGACAGAATTTCTGAAACTCTAGCAAGAGCTACTTTTAAAAGTTGGTTGTGTGAACACTCGATGCAGAAATTTTCGAGAAGGAGCATTGGCAGGAAGCAGATCGGAATTTCACTAGAGCATGCCGATCATATGGAATCAAAGTTTAACTCTCTGACGTGAAACTTTCGACGCTAGTAGTATTCATGAACCCTCTCATTATGGTGTAAAAATATTAAGTTTCGTTGATTGCCAATCATGACTGCGAACAAAAACAATATGTTTGGTTTTTTATCATATCACTTACGAATAAGCAATAACTGCAGAGTAAGATACTACGTAATTTTAGCTGTATGCTTTCTAGATTTTTCAAACTTTGAACTGAGTTAATTGCAGCCTCTGACCATACTCTAGAGATCAAAGCGTCGATACGCAAAAGTAAGATATCAGACGAATAGGGTATTACAAATATACGTAAAAATGTTGGTAGCGGATTAGAATATTTCACACTGGTAAAAATTTGTCGCACGAACTTTTCAAGATAGCTGAAAAATAAGAGTTCACTGCGCAGCATCCGTTCTGTAAAAGCGCAGAAATGCTTGTAGTTGCTATACTTGTGATATCAATATCCATTGAACAGTATAATATTCGAACACGTTTCTTTCTTTTCGTATCTGCTCATGTAGGTGCCGTTTCGGTACTCAATCTAAGAGGACCCATCTCTACTGCTGCCAGCTTCATCTTGGTGTAAATCCTTCTCATAACGAATCAGCTGTAGTAGAAAGCCATCTTTTGGATCAGCCACAGGTCGCCGTTCGAGAAGGTGATCATAAGCTTCACAAAGCGATTACTTGTGGTATCTAAAGAATAAGATTCAAAACTCGACAGTGACGGTATATGTGAAGATGTTTTCTACCTCAACAGATACGCAAGAACAATGGTTGATGAACGAGAAATGCCTGCTCGACAATGAACTAGGACTTTCTCGCTCTTGGATCTGCATTTATACAAAAATTCATTGGTTCGATCGAAATATTGACGGATGTCGACTTCAGACAAATCTTCCACATTAATCCATAAGACATTAAATTTATTCGATACGTCTTTTTTTAAGTGAGAAATTGCCTACGGTAACGATATTTCGAATGCCGAGTATGTTGAGTAGCTCGATATTACATGCGTTGCTAAAGTCACCATGAAAAAGAAAATCATCGATGATCAAAGACGGAACATCAGAAGTTCTATTGTTTAACGATTGTAGCTGTTTCGTAAACTTGAGCTTATATAAGCGCTTTAAATAATCAATTTCTTCAATTGTAGCTTGCATGTTATCATCTAGATCACCAAACTGAAAGTCGTCTATAAAATCGGCACTGGCCATATGTTTTACTTGTTAGCACACTAATATCAATCTAGAGTCAAAAATAGATCACGCTCGAATAACCATCTTGTTGAGAACTTTGGAAAAATAAGTAAAATGTATTTTTCCATAACTAAATAATTAGTCACGAAGACTAATTGTCTCTAGTCAGAAATATGCATGCAATTAATATTTCAGTAAGATGATTGTTCTGGCCAAGGAGAGGATTAAATCAAGTCTCGCTTGCTCAATACTTCTTGAAACGCGAGTATAAATTCGCATATGACCATGAAAAGTTGAGAGTCTCGAATATATTTAGGTTTATCAATTCGGAGATTCTCTCGTATACCCTCTTGTATTCGGTTGCTTAGAGAACGTTATGCATGTGTGGAACAAAACAAGAAGAAAATCGAGCATGTATCGTCGATAGGTGACAAGAAAAAGCGCCAAATAGAGAAGCTACGTCATGTCACTGGTGGGTGACACGAGAATCGTGGACTACTAATGACATCACAGTTTGACAACACCTCTTCGACTACCATATAAGCAGTGAAAAGGGGCATCAATGATTCATCAGTGATTTACTTTTCTTGTTATTGCATCA